ACACAAAATGAAAATTGTGACAGAAAATGATAATTATTAATTAAAACCGCGTTTCAGTGTCACCGCAAAACACACAAACACACAAACAGATACGCAAAGCTAGAGCCACACACACCACACACACACACATAGCCAAAGGCATGGCCCACACAGATACACATTAATTATGTTTATGTGCTGGAAATATGATAGGGCAGTGGAGATACATCGTAACTGTCATTGATTGTTTGAATAGTTGGCGATTGAAATGGATTTTAAATGGAGTTTCGAATGGGGCTTGAATAGGGCTTGAATTATGTAAGTCTGCTATGTGGAATCTATAAACGATTTGATGCATAATTTAGATGTAGATACTGAGGGAATGGGCAGCAAACTATAGTTTGGCTTATGCATTTCTAACTGGTAGGATATAGATTGAATTGCAAGCAGAATACGGATTGAAAGTGCAATGTAGATATGTTAGGATCAAGCCGAAGCAGAAAACGCATTGAAATCTAAGTATGGTTTAAATCTGTATCTAGAAGAAATGCTTCAATTGAAATTAAGATCAAGATCATTAATCGTAATTTAGATATTGATTTATATAAAGCCAAGATACAGCAGAAATTTAAGACACGACTCTGATTAATTTTATGTCACGATTTTGCTTTATTATACATTATTCATTATATTATTATTATTATTTCTTATATTATTATTATTATTTATTATATTATTATTATTATTTATTATATTTATTATCCCTATACGGATTGAGTATTCTATATCCTATTTCAATTGAAATCTAATTAAATTTTAAATAGTAATCTATATGCAAATTCAATTGGAATAAAGTTCGCATTATAATCTATATGCAGATCGAATCGAAATCCCGAAACGGTTTAATGATGGAATTCCAAACCCGATTGGGGGCTCAATCGTAATCTAAATACGTACTAAATTGCAATCGATGTATCGCAATCCGCCCCCCCATATCATGATTTTTTTCTCTGCCATAAACCGCGTAAATGGCAATTTCATCAAGTTTATCGCTCATTAACAGTAAAAGTGACAACAACAACAACAACAGCAACGAGAAACAACAGCAATCACTTGTGCAGGGCGACATCTCATTCATATTCATAGAATCAGCCTCCTCCTTTCACTCACCCACACACTCTGCCTCTCTGTCTCTGCCTCGCTCTCCCACATGACTTCCTTCCTTTGCAGCTTCCTTGTGCTGTGCTTTACCGCTTCCCTTTCCACTGCATTACTCCACCCGACCATACAATATTCATACATAATTCTTCCGTAGAGAAACAGAGCGACACGGAGCAGGCACTTCACTTCACTCCCTCTCCCTCCCCTCACCCTCACCCTCACCATCCTCCTTTCGTCTTTTGTTTTATTTATAACATTTTTGCTGTTGTTTTTTTTTCTGCATGTTCTTTTTTCCATTTTTATCGCGTTCTTTTATCTAGTTTGTCAACGTTATCAGGAGGCGACAACAGCAACAACAAAAACAGAAACAGAAACAGTAGCAGCCACAGAGAATCAGCGAGAGAGAGAGAGAGGGAGATAGAGAGATATCCCTCTTCCCCTTATCCACTCTTTCTCCCTCTGCCACTTCACATGGAAATGAAGGCAAAAGTCGGATAGTCCGATGTATTAGATTTGACGCTTCATTATAATGATAGATCGTTGGCTGCGTTGGCGGAGAGCAAATACACGGACTACACTGAGAGAAATGCTAAAGGGAATTGTGGCAGAACTAAGGGAAATACTAAACTGATTGATTGAATACTAATAACGCAAGAATTTCCTCAACAGATATTTTATTTTATTTTAAATTCTTCCTTTTATTGTTTTAAAAATATATTTTTATATTCACAGAATGCATAAAAATTGTCTCAAAGCATTCCCTTTTGACCTCATTTAAAGCCTTTCTCTCTGTGTACTATACTAAAAATAAATGCATGAATTAATGCTCCATGAATATGTATTATGTCAATTAAGCAAATTCCCAAAGGTAATTTATGAATTCGGCCATGAATATTGCATGTTGACAATTCAAAGGATAACTTATGATTCAAATATTTTATGAAATTCTAATTTCCCAATGAAGTCCGCTGAGAATTAGCCGAGAAATCTCAAATCCAAACAACTATTATTAATGGAAAGATTCCATAGCATTTGCTGGTGAACCAGCAAAGGCAGAGGAAAAAAATTTCAAACACAACTTTCCAAGTTCCCCAAAAATCCAACTCAAGCCCCTCTACCTTTATGCTGGTTTTTTCTCTCTGTGTACACGATAGTTGTTTAATTTTCAGGCTGGTCGACGCTGCGTATACGCAACATTCAGCATTTTGCAGTCCACGAGCGCGCGATGAGCGCTGGCGCGTTGGCGGCTGGTAAATAATTAATGAGCAGCGACCAAGTGCTGGTAAATGGGTTGAAGAGAGAGAGAGCGAGGGGGAGATGGGATCAACGAGAGTGGAGAGCAGAATGTCAGCATAATGAGCCAAACACACACATATACACAGAGACACACACACACACACACACAAACAGAGAGACGCTAATTGTCCTTTGGAGCCACGCGGAGCCCAACGTTGCGTCGCTTCGCGTCCTTTAATGCCTTAATTGTGTTTGAATGATTGAAACTAGCAGCAGCCTTTGAATGCCACTCAGTGGCAAGGAGAGAAAGGATGGCTAGATGGAGAGGGCAAGTGGGGAAGTGGGGGTTTGGTGGATGCCACAGTCAAGTGGGATAATTGCATATCAGTGGTGCAGCTGATGCTTCAAACTAATGATAAATGCCTCAAGCGGAAACGTGAAATAGGACCTAAGGACACAAGAGGATGCTGGCTGCTGGCTGCTGCTGCTGGCTGCTGCTGCTGGCTGCTGCTCAAGGCAGAAGGAAGACAGTTGGCAAGTTTTCCACTAATTGGGAATGTAAGAATATACGTAGGTGTTATAATGATAGACGATATACGATACAATATGCTATTTATCAAGTCTTTGGATTTCCTTCCATATGTTCCTGAAACTACAGAAATTTGCGTGGCTGTTTTGGGGCTTTTTTCGTGCTGCTATTTGAGTAGGTTTTTTGTTTAACAAAAGTTTTTTGGCAAATTATACGACATTTTCAAGAATTTCGAATGAAAAAATATACATAAATTTTGACTAAAATTTAGTAGGGAGAACATGTGTGTTGAATAGGCCTAGAAGCCAGCCTATTCAACTTAGAGCTAGCACAAACAGAATTTTGAGTCATCGTAATCATCCTACAGCAATAAAAACCATGACTAAAATACGTACAAATTCTATGCTCAACATTTATTTGATTATTTACTTAGTTAGTAATGTGTTGCTTTTGATTTTGGTTACTTAATTTTATTCGCTATAAATTTTTACATGAAGCATGAACAGTCTCTTTTGAGGACGTACAGCTGTCCTGTTCCAATCAGTTTTACTGTCCCAGGGCATTTGTCTGTCCCCCTAGTGGGAGATCCCTGGCTACTTTAAAGATTCGACAGTTATGGGAGGTGCCTTCCCAAGAGAGATTATTTCATTTGCAAAATTTGCATAAGGGAGTTCTTTTCAGTTCTGTTCTGTTCAACCATTCTTTTCTGTTCATATATTTGCCAAAAAAAAGAAATTTCACAGCTTTTTTCCCATGGGAGTTTCTAGAAATTTCATTAGGTATTATTAATTAATTATTAATTCTAATTTTTTAACAGTTTTAACAGATTCGAAGCTTATATTTTATTTGTTTTTCCCACAATTTATGCTCGGAATCGCTGCGAGGATTTTCCAAGGCACATCTGAATTCTGATAAAAAAAAATGCTCAGTCTTTCATCTATTAAAATAAGCCAAAGAATTACTGTTACTGTATATTAGGTCTGCGACTCTCTTTTCCTGTACTTCTATTATTTAATTTTGTATTATTATTTGTCTTTAAAGATAATTTTAATGACGTAAAGATTTATCTACCTTTAAAATATACACTCGTCTTACTAATTGTCACGGAAATGACTGTAACTCATGTGCTTCTCTAAAAGTTAATAATCTGTGAGTATTTTTTCCCATCATTAAAAGGTAAGAAATCATCACATGTCTTGAGGTTTTCCTTCAAACTCTTGCACTCCTGAAATCCTTAAAATTATCCCCTTTTAAGCTACATTTAATACCAAAGGATCATGGGACATCCTTTAGTTGAACCATTTATCAACCATTAATTTATATATTCATTAATTCACACAGCCTCTCCGTCTCTCTCTCTCTGTCTCTCTGTGATATGATTCATCTTAGATCCCCATTCAAGCGTTATCTGCTTGGTGTCTCTGGTTTCTCAGTGCCAAAGCTAGAATATCTCAAAGATTTACAGATACGCGCTGCTGTGCCGCTCGTCGCGCAACACAGCACCGCGCCACGCCACACCACGGCACGCCACGGCATGCCACGCGCTTGCTGCTTCGAGTTCAAGTACAACCGGCGACGGCAACAAGCAATGACAACTGCCTGCCCCACCGCCCAACCAACTATTGGGTAGAGACCCAGACCCCTGCCCGACCCCCGATCGGATAGAATGGATATGGATCTCAACTTTTCAATGGATTTGTGATTTGTTTTTGGAAAGGAAATCTGTTTTTCAGGGGCAAAACTCAAACAGAAAATCGTCAAGTTTTGTCTGCCCATAAACAACAACACACAAAAATGTTCGCTCTCTCTCTCTCTGCTATTTTTCGGCACAATTTTCAATTAGCAGTCGCCGCCGCGAAAATGCTATACAAATAAATTGAATTGAAGATTTTGTATTTTGATTTAATTTGAGAAACCAATTGGAAATCACTTTGCGGACAGGCCAACGCTTTGAGGTTCCATCTTCCATGCCATCACCCACATTATTCCCTATCCTCACAGCCTCCCCCTGCTCTCTTTATTCTCCCTCCCCTAAAACACTTTTCGATAAATCCGTAAATTGAAAAGGTTCTCCGCTGTGTTTCGTTCTCTTTACCTGTGCACAAAGTTTTTTGACTTTCAGATGAATAAAGTTTCGTCTTTGTCTGTTGTTCGGAGATTTCGAGATTTGAATTTCGTAAGCGGCAGAATTTCAATTACAGATTTTGCACTCGAATGAGACACGGGGAGCCGCAAGCGGCGGATGTTGGATGCTGAATGCCTGAATGCCTGAATATTTCCCCCGCTTCACGTGGGGATTTGTTCTTTACTTTTAGTTTTAGTTTTAGCGATTAGTTTAGTCACACAATTCTGGCACTTGGCACACACACACACGCGACTACACGTTCTCAGCGGAGTCTGTGAGGGTATAAGTTGAGCGATTGGAGCACCTCCCAGTGGGTGGAGTGGAGCACCAGAGTGGAGTCCAAGATTCAAGAGGCAACTACCGCGGACACGACCGAACGCTTCGGCGTACGACGAATATCTGTTGGGTCTGTGTCTGTTGCGGAAAATCTAAATGAAAATTTCAATGCAAAAAAAACAAAAAAACATTCACAGAGCGCGGCAGAGAGAGCGCACATGGGGCGCTGTGTATAACAGTTGCAAAACTGTGTGAGAGGGAGAGAGGAACGCGTAGCACTTTGTTGTAGCACCGCAAGCCGCCTCAAGCTCTCTCTCCCTCTCTCTCTGCGGGAAGGTGAGTGTGCTACATGTGTGTGTGTGTGTGTTGTGTGGGAGTGTGTTAGTTGGGTGAGCTTTGCAAAATGCCAAATTGTAAATAAACGAAAAATGCCCCAAAAAAACAACTGTTATACCCCAAAAGGCAGTGGCAGTGGCGTAGCCAAAGGGTGAGACGCGACACCCTCTTCTCTGGGTCACAGGAGGATTGACATTTCGGTGTGCGAAGAACAGTAAAAGCCAAACAGTCGGACTGGCGCAGACAGGACAGCTTCCTTCGACAGGAAACATTTTTATGGCCACAATCTGTATGCATTTACTGCCACAAAAACTTCCTCCGCTGAGCCGGAAATCTCTTTTGCTGCACAAAAATGACAAAGGAACTGCTGGCCGTTCGTCCGTTCGCTGAAGAAAATGCGAAAAGAAATGTGATGCATGGATGATGATGAATCATGATGTGGGAATTATTATTTTTACCACTATTTTATTTATAAAAATATTTATTTTTATCAAGTAATATTTATAAATCTATTGAATAACGAAAGATGTTGGATTGCAAAATTATCTGCTGTATTTTTAAACATTTTTATAACATTTTTAGGCTACGTAGTTTTAGAAAATCTACCCAACTGACTTCTACCTTTTGTTGTGGGAACTATTCGAGTAATATGCAATCTCTGCTCATTTTATTTAATACCAGTTAATCGCCCTAATCGTTTTCCATTAACAGTGTACCACTCCACGCCCCTGTGTCGGGTGCTCCGCCTCTGGGCTTTCCGCAAAAATTCGCGTGTTTCCAAGTCCAAGCCACCCCCCCTTCCAACCACCCAAAAACAGAATGTTATACAGAAAATGTTATACAAGAGCTTTTTTGTCATGTTACACACTTCCGTGGATGGCGCTCTCTCTCTCTCTTCCTATCACTCTCTCGCTCCTTTCCTGCTTTCTCGCTCTCTCGAAGCTTTCTGCCTTTTGTTTTTGTTTGGGAAAAGCGTTCGCGGCGAAATGTTCATGTTTTGATAAGAGGAAAAGCGGTGCCCCCCGCCACCCCACGTGGGGTGGGGTGCCAAGCGGGGAGCAATTTTCAAATAAACAACAATAGCAACAAAAGAAGAGGAATGAACCTTCTACCTTCTCCAACCTCTCCAAGTCTCTCTCTCTCTCTAGACTCTAGAGAGCCACCCCACACAGATTGATAATAGTTTCTGAATAGTTTGGGGTGCAGCTAGAACCTTCAGCGGTTCGGGGGTCGAGGGAAGCGGAGCAGAATCGCATTGAGAATCAACGTATAGGGAGAGGCGTGTCTCTGCGTCGACTGTCGTCCGTCTAATCAGCATCTAAATACGGGCAAAAAATCAAATTAAAATACGCCAAAATCGGTTTATGCTTTTTGCTACTCGTACGACTGACTCGTATTCCGTATCTGCTGCTGCTGCCGCTGCTGCTGTTGCTCTGTGCCTCTGTTTGTGCCTCAATTTGAATTTTGAATTTGAATTTAAATTTTGAGTTTTGCTGCCAATGCAGCCAAGAATTTTTATATATGATTTTTATTTTTAATGTGCCGTTTGCTGCCCGAGGCATCGCCGCCGTCCGCCGCTGCCACTGCCGCTGCTGTTGCCGTACGTGAGCACAGCCGCAAATTGTCCGAACGGGGAACGCGCGCATGTGCCACAAAACAAGAAAAACAGAATAACAAAACCACAAAAAAAGCGAAAAAAAACACACACAAAATCGACAAACCGAAAACCCAAAAACCGAAAAACAACCGAAAAATTTGAAATCGGAGAAATATATGGAAAATATTTATGTCCCGCGTTTCGTGTGTCCGTCTGTCCGTCTGTCCGTGTGGCGGATATTATGACATTCAATACGCGGGAAAATGGGGGGAAATGGGGCGAACAAATCTCGGACTCGCCAACTGACCCACATATTTTCGTTTCCTCTTGTTTGGCCCTGCCCCCACCACCCCAGCACCCCACCCCTTTGCACTGATTGACAAGGTGAGACAAACGCGTGTATCTGTCCGTACCCGTCCCCCGCCGCCCGTATCCGTTGCAATCGCTCTGAAGATGCCCGCGAGCTGCGATGCTCTGCTCTGCTCTGCTCACATTTCCCCCTTGTATTTTTGTTTGCTTGATTGATTGCGGCCCGCCCGGCGTCCTCAAGGTCACTCCGTGGACAGCACAAAAGATATGCAAATGGGAGACCAGCGAATGGTTTGCAGCAGCAGTGGGGATGGGTGCGTGACTCACGCGGCACTCCAGGGGGGGTCACCAAAAAATGGTGGGAACTAATACGCGTAGCTGTGGAATGTTCAGATGGAATGCTATGGGTCACCAAACCACGGAATATCTATGGAAAAGCACCCACAATAATATTTGCAATGAACAACAAATTTAGTCGGAAAAATGGCAACATAATTCTAGCGTCGGGGTCACCAAACAATGGAACAACGAAATATCTGCGGAATCTTTTGGAACACCTTTCCTTTCGAGCAGCCATAAAGTCTGACAAATTATGGCACACGGCGCCATATTCATTGCATATTTATATGGCCATAAAGTGGAAGAAAACAGGAGCATCACATGGCATTCCATTCTAATTCCCCCAAGATCCCAACTAAATAAATTTCCGAATTGTTTATTTTATTCCAAACAAATCAGCGGGCATTAAAACAGCGCGATGGAATCCAAATAAAACATTAACATCCGGTGAGAATTCGGGGGGCCCACGGCAGCCACCCCAGACACCCACTGTACACTCCCATCCCCACTGTGCGTTGGTGTGGTGTGGTGTGGTGTTTGTGTTTCCACCTTTGAAGTGGGATTTACAGGTGTTTCGAGTGTCTGTTTTTGTCCGTCTGAGTGTCTGTTTAAAAAGGTCATGGAGCTCTCGGAAAAGTGTAACTAAATGAAAAGTTTCAGAGCGACCACGAAAGCCAAAAGCTAAAGCCACCATAAAACCCCAGAGAGGCGAGGCTCCGACTCCGGCTCCGGCTCCTGGCCAGAAATACATCAACATAACTAATAACTTTCACCCACTTTTGGGGCAGAGGCTCCCTATTCATAATGGAACCACAAACCAACATTCTTCGGGCAGTCGGCAGTCGGGTAATCCACGTTCCACTTGCTTGTAAAATTTACATAAGTCTGAAGCACACACAAAACATTTCCATGATAATTCCCCAATAATCGGAGTCTATTTATCAGCCTTTAACTGTGTAGTGTGTGGGAGTGAGGCGCTGCTTTGTGCTCTGTAGAGTGGATCGGCGGCACTTTCATAATGAAAGGAAAACATTGAAAATTCAACGGGGGGTAAAACAATTGCAAAAACCGAGTAATGAAGACAAATGAATATTTTACGTGATTCGGAAAATGCTGAGAAGATGCAACAATCATCTAAAATTTATGTGGGGGGGTGGAATCGGAAGACAAAGTGTAGTACGAGAAGAGTAAGTACTCTTCAAAAATCAAAAACCAATTTAATTTATTTATAAAGCGATGATGACGTTGTTTGGTCTGAGGTCTGGAACTGAAATTATGCCAGAATCTAGAGATAGAGAGAGACAGAGAGCGAACGGGCATGGGGTGGTGGGGGTTGAATGCCAGCAGATAGATGGAGAAGGAATTTCCTGCCGCTAAAACGTTTAATTTATTAATGAGATTTATTTATAGAGAGAGAGAGCGTACGGATGGGGCTGATAGGTGGGTGCTGAGTGGGCGGCATCGGCAGGTGAAAGGTTGTGGTCCAAAAGGATTGGGGGCAACGCGTGGCTTAAAGAAGGCAAGTGCTCTTCCACTCTCTCATTCTCTCTTCCTCTCTCTCTCTGACTGACTGTTTTTGCGGAAAATATATTCCCCTGCTTTACCGCTCAGTTCTCGGTGGGTGACGTGTGGGTTATTGTAATTAATGTTATGTGCGTTGAATGTATGTTTTCCCACTTTTATACACTTCTCTTTTTTGCTGCTCCACCCACTCCACCCACTACCACACCATCCCCTGCTCCACCTCCTCTTTTACCACCCCATACCACCCAACCGAACGTTTCTTGGGGCTTTTTTTTAATGGCGCCTCGGCCTGTGGCAGTGGTAGTGGGTGCGGCCCACAAAAATAATTTACAACGTGTTGTTTTTGGGTTATGTGTTGTTGGGTGCCTAAAGGGGGGTAGCGGTAGGTACAGGCGGGGCGGGGGCTCTGTGGAAGTAAGGCAATTGAAGGCGGCAAGGCGGCAACAAATGTACAACAAGATAATGACAGAATTATGGGAGAACATCAAGCATATGGCACACCAAAAAAGAAGATACTTCCACAGAGTGTATACACTCGTACAGTGAGTGCTCTCTGGGGCGAACACTTGCCGTCGTGCCACTTGCAGGAGGCACTGAAGGAGAGACCTAAGCACGGCTAAGAGCTTGGATGGAGTTGGTAATTATAAAGGGAATTTAATGGGTACATTCCTTTAAAGATCGTTCACGGTATTGTTTGTGTCCTGTTTTTTGGGTATAGGTTTTTCAGCGCATCATAGCGAGGATATTTATAAGAAATATGTATCGTATTTTTGATAATTTTAGAGCCTTATTTTCCCTTGTTTTCAGGATATTTTATGTTGAGCGGTTCATAAAGGAATAAAGGTAAAACCGGTCCCAGAAATATCATCATGTGGGTAGGCATAGGCAAAAGAGGAATCTTACACAGGTATCATATTTAGACCTTTTACTGTATTCCTACTCCAGAGAGAGAGAGAGAGTGAGCTATAGAGAGAGCTGCAACAGCATCAAGAGAAAGGCTTTCGTGGGAGCAACACACTCTGGATCCATCCCACTATCTCCCTCTGACCTTCGCCTTCGTTCGAGTAAGCGTAAGCGCGGCCCCATTGCATGGCAATGCCTTGGCCTCCATAGCGATAAGCCGCAATGCCTTCGCCCCTTAGCAGCTCTGATTAGCCAATAGATCACTTTGAGCGATCGATTAGAGGCGTACAGCCCAACCACCCACAGCGGTCCCCCCGCGGAGTCATAAATAAGCGTGCTGATTACGGCATTTCAAAGCTCCGCTTGAAAGAGAGAGATAAAGTGATCTCAGCTGATCATCGGATGAAGAGAGAGAGAGAGAGTGGAGAAGAGTGAACGTGACTGGCTCTCCTTGCGTTTATTTCTTCGTTACTCAATAATTTGTTTGCGTTCTAAAATTTTGATTCATTTGCCTACGCGCACGCACACACAGGTACAGACATGTCTGACACGCACACACACACACAAACACACACGCCCAAGCACACGCATTATTATTTGCTTATTTGTCACGTTAATAAAATAAAATACAATTAATTACCTTTGCAAATGATAGAAGGGGAGCGAAAGAGAGAGTAAGTACAAAGAGGAGGGAAAAGCATGAAGCTGAAGCTGAAACTTTGCTTCCCCCGGGAAGAGAGAGAGTGAGAGAGAGGTTCAGAGGCCCGGCACTTTGAAATAATAGGTGAGAGACAAGCTATGTTGAATAGAAGGTAAGGCTGTCTCTTGAGTTAAATACCTAATAGCAAATAATGGGCGGAAGTTCTAAAAATCTTCTCAGCTATTTAAATTCCTTAAAAAATTTCCTCGTAATCGATCTCAGGGTCAATCTTATTGGGAGAGAGTACAAAGAGAGTCCTTAAAGATGCACTCCCCATGTGAGTTGTTCCTCAATGCAACATTTATTTTATAAGCATTTAGCTAGACTTACGCATAAATTCCATTTTATCTTACCTTACTTACGATATACCTTGTATAATATACAAAAAAAATTGCCACACACAAACATTTGTTGTTGCTGCTGTTGCTATTGCTTTTTGTTGCAATTGATTTTACTTTTGCTTTGAGATTTGTGCGGGAATTCTTGTGTGTGCTTTTGTTTGTTTTTTCGCGGCGGCCCCCAGCATCTGTTGCAAAGTCAAACGGCAAACACACACAAACACAAAGACAGTCAAGCGCTAAGACATTTGCCTGTTTTTTTCTGTTTTTATTCTTCAACACGCGGCGGCACGGCACTTTTCCAACGGCATTTCTAATGTTTATTTAACATTTTTTGCACTCACGAATCTGGTGGAGCTCGAAAAAGTTTACGAATGTGTTAACAATTTGCAATTAAACTAAAAAACAACTAAAACCAGCGCACGGCGGAGAGCAGAGACGCGGAACGAACGTCCGCATTGCCTGCGGAGCGAGAAACGTTTGCCGTTTGTTTTGGGGAGCATTGGGAGAGCTTTTAGTTAAAGCAACTATGTTTGTTTTTGTTTTTGTTGGTGTTGTTGTTGGCGCGGCTGCGACACTCTGCCTCTTTTTGGGGGTAGCAAATGTTCCCTGATTCTAGGCGCATATTGCTTGGAAACCGCATGCAGTGCTGGGTATGGAAGTTTCAATACCCTATGTGGTCTAAATAAATAAAACTTCTGTGTAGAATTTATTGAAATCAGCAAAAGGTCACAGTTTCTTTGGAAATTTTAGTAGTATGTAAAATAGATAAAAGTTCTTGCACAAAGTACTTATCAAATATGCAACCATGCCTGAGATTTAGTTTGTGTGCGTTACAAACGTTTCACCAAAAGTATACATCTTTTGTTTCAAGTGGTATTTAAATGTTTCTAGCAATCGGCCGCATGGTGTGTACAAAAAGGAATGGACACATCGCATACAAATATCGTTACCTCGTTGTGCTCACACACCATGCAGCGAGATCTGTTTTATGGCATGTGCATTATAGCATGTAGTAATGTGTGGAATTAATGTAGATATTATGTAGAGAAATTATACTTTCGAAATCCGTTGAAAATTCATGAAAATTGTTTACTCTTTCCAAGCTAAATATGGATTTGTTTATATTTAAAAATTCGGAATAAATGAAAGTTTCAGTTAACTTTCATTTAAATATTTACCCCATTAAAAAAAGCCTTGGATGTTGTTTATATATATATATTCCATATATTTTGCATATATATTTGTTGGTTGTTTTTATACTTTACACAATAAAAATGATAATGGATCATCTCAACAAAAACAATTATTCGCATTAATCGAACTTAAAATTTAGAAGATTTCAAAGACAAATTTGTTTGCGTGCAACGTTTGTTCTCTACTTTTGTATCATTTGATTTCTTTTTTTTATATATGGGAATCGATCGCATCTACATATCTGCGTACTTAGTGGTTATCGGTATTGGTATTGGTATCGGTAGTATCGTTAATCGATTAGAAAATAAAATAGTCATAGTTAATTTCGATAGAACTATACGCTCCGCTCCTCCTCTCTATAAAGTATATGTACATTTGAATGCTGAATATTCTCTTGAGTCATCGATCATTCATCGATGTAAGGGGGGGGGGGGTTTGTTGGTTTCGATTAAACTTAAATAATTAAACATAGTTTAAGGTAAAAGTATTTAAAGCAACTTAAACTTATGGTTAAGAGTGTTCGGTTTTCTGTGTGTGTGTGTGTTTTTTGTTTTTATCTTTGTTTATCGATTGCAGTTTAAAATTATCGAGCATCGAGCGCTAAAAATCATATCGATCATATAATTGTCTTCTCTTCAATATATTCGCATATGGGGTGGATATATATGGGATATTTGGGGTGGGTTGGTGTTGGGTGTTTTGGGGGTTTTGGGGGTGGTGCTACGTGAATGTGTGATAACGAGAGTCACAGTAACAGTCACAGAAGTCACAGCGAGCTGTGATTCCGGTATTCGAGTGCGACTAACGAACCGCGTAATGGTTTTGTAAACCTCAAAACATTGCTACGTGTGTTTGTATGTGATTATCATGTGTTTGGTTATCGATATCGATTTATCGTTGTGATGCTTTGTGATTGATCGCTTTCTATATATTTTTTGGGGCGTTTTTGTTTTTGTTTTGGGGTTTGGTTTTGTTTATGTTTATGTTTTTGTTTTTGTTTTGTGTTAATCCATGCGTTAAATATGCTTAATGACTTATATTATATATTTGGTGTACTTTTTTGAGTTTTGTGTTCTGTTTTTTGCTTTTGCTGGTTTTTCTTTTCTTTTAGTTTAGTTTGTAACTGTTACACATATATAATATGATTATATATATATTCTAACGATTTGAATAACTCTTGTCCATGCTTGTCCTGCAGCGATCCTTCTTCGTCTACTTCCTCCTTCCTTTCTTACTCTCACATCTAAACTAAATATAATACAGTTTATCTTTTCATTCGTTCTACGTGGGGGGGCTGGTGCTACGGCTACAATGAATGCATTTAACAACTCCTGCGAAACGATCAGCCATCGCTTCCTTTCCCTTCTCTCCAAAGTGTTATACACGGCACAGTGGTTACTCCTCTCTCTCTACTTTGACTCGCTCTCCTTTTTTCTCTCTCTTTGTATCGTTCTCTGTTACGTTTAACGCTTTTAGATGGGCGATAGAGCGGTGGAGAGCGATGCAGTGGCTGTGTCCGGCATATATTCCTTGACCAAATCACGCAGCCGCAGAATCTCCCGTCCGGCAGCCGCCAAATCGCCCTGCAGCGAAAGTTCCCTCTCTCGGAGTCGCTTAATGTCGCGCTGACAGGTCTGTAAATGCCAAAAGGAATACACTGATAAGTAAACGGGAAGATTTTTCTCTCTATTTGTGTATTAACTTACCACATTCTGACGCAGCAGATCCAATTTATCGCACTTGAGTCGCGTCACCTCCTGCCGCAGATTCTCAATCTTGACGATCGTCTCATTGCTCGGTGAGCTGCCCATCATGGTGGCCTGCACCCCGTCGAGGCACAGCGAACAGGCCTTGGTGGTGGCCTCCGCCGAGCTCATGCTCTCCAGCCCCGTATCGCTGTCAATGTAGGTGGCACCGCCATCCAGATGCCCCATCATTGGATCCAGATCCACGCTATTCAAACTGGAATCATCGCTCGTCTCTGACATTGTGGCCACCGCCACACCCACGCCCACGCCCACGCCACCGTTCTGTGCGGCACTCACAGCAGCAGCTGCCACTCCTCCACCAACTGCGCTGCCGTTTTGCGGATGCAAGACGCCGCCATTGGAGCCGCTGCCATTGTTGATGTTGTTGTTGTTGTTGACTGTGGCCTGTCGCGAGGTAATGTCCGGCGACGAGGAGGTGGATTCATTCGAGGATTTTGATTTCGATGAAGATTTCGAGGCGGTGCGACTGCAGCTCTACAGGGGAATCAGAAAATAATATCGGTTAGTGGATCGATTGGCGGGGGGGCAGTTTAAGCTTTGCTCCAACTTACATTCAAATTGGGTGTCTGCATTTCGGGCTGTGGCTCCTTCTTGGCGTTGAGTGTGCCCAGCTTTGTGTTGACACTGAACTTGTCCTGCCCGTTGCCCGTGTCCACGCTCTGGGAGCGCACGCGCATGATCAGCGCCTTCTTGACGGTGTCTATGAAGCGACTGCCCGCATTGCCGCCGCCGCCACTGCCGCTCTCCGCCTTGGGTGTCTCTGGCGTGGGACTGCTGGCCGTTGCCGCCTGCGAGAGATCGGCGCCCAGGAAATCGCGCGTCTTCTCGCGCAGCTCCTCGACGAGATTCTGCAGCAGTGAGGTGCGCGTGCGCAGCTCCAGCTTGGCAAACTTCTCGGCCTTGTAGCACGCGTTCTCCGCATTGATCAGCTTCGTGAGTATGAACTCCTTGAACTCCTGCCCCTTGCGGAAGACAGCCGGATTGGGCAGTGTGGGCCCAAAGAAGGGCACATCATCGCGGGCCGTCACGCTCACCTTGTAGCGGGTGTGCGGTGTATTCGGCTCCAGCGGCTGCACCACAATGAACGCGTGCAGAAAGTGACTGGCGATCATGTCCGGGGAGAAGGGTGTGTTCGTCTCCTGGAACACAATCGCCACAATGTCGTTGCCAATGTGCCGCTTGCGCTGCAGCTGCTGCGGATCCGCCTCCGTGTGAGGCAGCAGCGTGGACACATGGAACATCACCTCACGCTCCTTGAACACCTCATAGACGGCCGTGTCGCCGGTGTGTCCATTCTGTATGTCCAGTCCGCCGCGATAGCCCTTGTGATCCTTCAAGCGAATGCGCTGGCCGAGCACGTCCAGGAACTCATCGAATGCCGGCGATGTCTGCTGGTTGCCGAACAGCTCCTCCTCGGTCGTCTGGCCGTATCTTTGGTACAGCACCCCGAACTTGAAGTGCGAGACGAGCACATGCTCGTCGTAGACGCTGATCAGATTGGAGGCCTTGGGGCACAGCACCGGCATGAAGCTATCCACCTGGATCTGTTCGTTCAGCAGCCGCACCATCTTCGCGGGACTCGGCTGGGCGCCCAAACACGACACCGGAATGAGCTCGTGCATGGTGCCGGTGCGCAGGCGCAACAGTATGCGCATGTGCTCCTGATTGGCCACATTCTCCGTCTTGATGGAGATGAGCACCGGCCCCAGTTGCTCGTCCTGCCCCACCAGATTCGAGTGCTCGCGCGCCGCATAGAACCGGCGATAGCACTTGGCCGTGTCGTCCGTCTCGAACTTGGCCATCCATGTGGTCTGCGGCAGCAGCGGATTGCCCCGGGCATCGTAGCTGCACTCGTGCTCGGTGCCGTCCATCCAGTAGCCGCCGTGCAGCGGCAGCAGGATCATCGGATAGGGCGCCGCCTTGGCCAGCGCATCCTCCAGCAGTCGCTGTGAGGCGGGTATGGCCGAAACAATCGACGAATTCGAGCTCACCGATGACTGTGACAGATAGTGGTGTCCGTTGGACAGCAGCTGCCCGCCCGTGGCACTCACCATGCCACTCAGCTGCGGCGAGGCGGGGGTCGAGCTGCAGGCCGATCCGGACACAGAGGTGCTCGAGTGGTTCATCGAATGTCGCAGTGTGGCACGCGATCCGGAGTGCTGCAAGCCACCACCACCGCCGCCGCCGTTGTGTGCCACGTGACTGTCGTGTGGGGAATGCGGCTGTGGTACACGCTCCTCGCTGGTGGCATTACTGCCGCGATGATGGTTCTGAAACAACGAAAAAAGGCAAGAGGTTAGGCCAGTGCTTAGATTGGTTGCCATAAGGGATAAGTGGAGCGAAAACTGAGCAAAGGCGCCCTGGAATTTTAGATTTATTTTCTATATTTATGGCTATAATGACGGCAAACGCTTTGGTTGCTGCTGTAGCGGGCACATTGCAGCCGTTCGTAATGAAAATGGTTATTAAGGTGGAGAATAGTTTGAGGTATGATGCCACCAAATATCACTGAAATAACTGCAAAATTGTGAGCCCCACAACATTTTCCATATCGTAAAAGTTTTCTTTTTTTTGCTGTATTTTGGCCTTTTCTTTGTGCTGAAACTGAGAAAGAACAGCTGCTGTTTCTTAAGCTCTTTCTGCTGCCTTGATTGTTTGGACAAGAGTGTGTCAAAGATCCAAAATGGTTGGAGGAGGTGCTGCCACCCATTGTGGCAGGCAACAACTGACGCCTGATTATGGTGTGTGGGTGCCTCCTCCCACACACACACACACAAAAACTCTTTGACAGGAGGAGAAGAGGAGGAGAAGTGTAGGGGGACTGCATGGCTGCATTATAATTTCATGCAATTATCGTCAGCGAAAACCCCCAGCCGTGTGCCACGTGGTCCCCCTCCTGCAAGCCTGCCTGCCTGCCTGCCTCAGCACTGTGTTTTGTGTATGCAAATGCTGCGAGGCCTCGAGCCATAGAGCCATAGAGCCATGGATTGTGGATGGATTGGATAATGGCAGTGCACAGAGTCGAGCAGAGTCGAGCAGAGTGGAGCACAGAGAGAGAGAGAACACAGAGGGTGCCTACGCCTCCGCCCCCCCACCCAAAGCTCATGGCTCATGTCGATGATGGCTGTTTGGCTCTGTGCAATTTTGTTGGCACAAACTATTTGAAAAGCGCCAAACAAATATGGCAGTGGTGGTGGGCGGCAGTGCAGAGCAGCGCTGTGGGCGTGGTCGGATTACGTGATGGATTTGCCATCAGTGAGGAGAGCCACAAAAACCGACAGCGAGCTCTGCTCTGCGCTTCCTGGGGTTCTGAATTTTTGATAACATTAAGCCAACATTTTCATTTGACATGAACGCAAGAGAGGGAGAGACGTTTGCTTCTACTTGGTGGTGCCTGCCTCATTGTAGAGTCTCCTTTTGAATTTGTGGCGCCACTCGAAGCTTTTGTCTAGTCGTAGGACCCATCCACATTCCCATCCTTCCCCCCTTGCGACCTAAACAAGCAAAAGCATATTAAAAAGTTCCTCTTTTATTTGCAAACAGTTTTTCCACATTTCCACAATTTCCTTTTGTTGCACTTTGGCTTGGCTTGAGCTGCGGGGCCTCTCTCTGGCTTGCAGCCAAATGTGGCACGTACAAGGGTTCAAAAGGGTGTGCCATGCCCTGCCTTGCCTTGCCCTGCCTTGCATTGGGGGGTTCATCGATAGTTCGTGCTTTGATTTAATAGTCTGCTTGCTAGTTGTTGCTGCTGCCAATTGTAAAAGGGCTGCCCCTGCCCCAGCCCCTGCCTGCTTCATTCCTTTTTCTTGCTTTTGTTGTGGCCTCAAGAGTGGAATAATGGGAACAGAGTTGGCAGGAGCAGACAGTGTGACCATGCCTCAGATCCGTTTACTTCTTTGGTCAATCGCTTAATCGATTTTTAATCGATATAATTTCATTTTAGGTTTATTTAATCTTTCTTTATATAGATATTCTTAGAAAATAAAGATTCCACAGTGTGACCCTCTCTTGCATGGCCTTTACCTTCCTTTCACTGCGCTGTGCAATCGCTTAATCGATTTTTAATCGATCCAATTTCATTTTAAGTGGATTTATCCTTTCCTTATTTCAATATCCTTAGAAAATAAATATCACAAAGTGTGACCAGCTCCTGCATGGCCTTTTCATTCCATTCACTATGCTGTGCAATCGCTGCTCTCCTTGTGCAATCGCTTAATCGATTGTTAATCGAAGGCTAAAACCATTTCGATTCATCAAATTTCATTTATGTTTCACTTTTGCTAATGAATTGCATTGTCATTTGAATGCATTTCGAATGCACACCATTCACTCCGCTCATTCATACTCATTTGTGTTTAGTATCTGTAGCTGTAGCTGTATCTGTATCTGTGTTATACCTCAAAGTATCTATGTATCTGTAACATTTTGCTTAGCGTGTGAACCAAAACGAAATAAATGCAAATGCAAAATGCAAATGCAATTCAATCCCTCTGGCCGCTGTCAGGCCACTGTGGCACACTCATTCTGTTGCTGTTCCTGCAGCAAAATTGATGTGGCAATTGAGGAAAATTAATAAATTTTTGTTGTAACTCTAGACAGAGTCGCTTCCACGATGGGGAAGTGGCTGGTGGCTGGCGGATTGGCTGGGAATGGGGTGTTGCATATAGTAGAGCACACAGCAGAGTGGCTGTGGGGAATCGTAGTTATAGATAGTTGGTCACGTCACACGGTTTGTTGGCTTCATTTGTAGCTCTGCTCTGCAGGGCGGGCCGGGCCGGGCCAGAGCGGAGCGCCCTTAAATGTTTGTTTAAATGTGAAAATGGTTTAGTGGGGTGTGGGTGGGGTGGAAACCCAACCCCGAAAAACCAATAAATAGCTGGGATAAGCACTGTCTGGGGCGGGCCATGAGTCATTCATCTAATAAGGCAAAAGGTCCTCTGTCCACTGTCCCCTGTCCACTGTCCACTGTCTGTTTTTCATTTAATTTGGCAATTGCTTTTGGAATGTGTCTCTCCCTCCCCTCTTACTCTCCGTCTAGATCTAATTAGGAAACCATTTCGTAGAGGTTGCTGCTCTTAGAACTTTTGTGTGGAAACAAATAGTAAACCGGAAAATGCCAATGTTAAATTGTAATAAAGTGGAAAGCATGACGAATGACAAGAACCAGAAACAAGCAAGCCGCAAGCACAGCCACAGCAACAGCAACAACCACAGCCAAGAGACAAATCTCAAGAGACAGACATGAGACATGTGCTGCAAATGATCATCATCCCAGCAGCAGCAACAATAATAATAATGATAATGATAATCATTATGATGTTTATGTGCCGATTCTGGGGAACTTAAGCGGATTACTCGTACATTCAAGAGAAAAGTGTTACGAGCTCTGGAACAGAGAACACAGCACAAGAAACTGAGCACTGGAGCACTGAGAACTGAGAAGAAAAGAAACTAAACTGAAAAGAAAAGAAAAAACACCGAGTATATGGCAGAACTTTTGAGGCAAAAAGCAACGTGGATGCAACACTATACTATAAGTGTAAGTATAACCATATGGCCAGACTCTGAGCTGGGGCCACATTTCGAGGTTAGTGGGGTACACTCTTGAACAGAGAGAAGAGGAGGCAGAGATGGTGGGCCGCGCCTGGAGCGGGAGGCATGCCCCAGGGCCTGGCTGGCTGGCTGTCATCTACTCGATATTTGCATAAGGCGAAGGGCATTCATTGAACCTCTGCCTCACTGCCTCTCCTCACCTCTCCACCCTTTCTGTGTCCACCCCCATATAAAAAAAGAGAATCCTGCAATGATGCCCCAAAGTCAACAATATTTGTTTTCTGTTGTTGCTGTTGTTTCTGTTGCCTGCCTTTGTGCCACTCTCGAGTGCATGGAGGCGCAGCAGCAGTCGGAGGCGTCATTAAAAATGTGCATTTTTTTTTTTGTCATTCAACGCCCAATGCCTCATGCCCTCAGGCCATGCCCCATGTGCCTCACAAAGCGCCTTCTTTTAAAGTAAGTTTATATTCTGGGCATCGCAGCTTTGGATACCCTGCAAGAAATGCTTCGAATTTAAACACTTTTTTGCTGTGCATAAATCCCCATTTGTCTGCTGATTTCTCGCCTTATTTTTCACTTAGATGCCTTTGTTCATCATACCTCTCCCCATTGCAGGGCATCAAACAAAAGCAACAAATGCATAAAAATGCACAGGAAGCATCAGCCTTGTTGTTGTTTGTTGCTCTCAGGGCACCTCAAGAGTGAGAAAAAAAGGTGGCGGAAAAAAACGCAGAGGGCGGAGCAGAGCACAGCCAGCCCCCTACAATGCTTGCCAAACTGTGGGCTTGACTTTTGTGAATATTTTATGCAGTTCACATTTCAAAACCAAAACAAAAACAAAACAAAAAAGTGTGACACATGCGAGTGCTGTCTCTCCCGCTCTCTCTCACTCCTGCTCCTAAGTGATTGATATATGTAGGAGCATAATACATGAGATGTCTACGCACGTAAACACACAGAGAAATCCACAGAGAGACAACAAACAATCCACAAGACAAACATCAACTTCAACTTCAACTCCAGCTCCAGCTCCAAGTGGAGTATACAACCCACTCCCGGACACATGATTTATGCGTGTCTCCAAGGGTGCTACATGCTACATTCTACATGCTAAAAACCCAAACACGAATCAAATCAAAAACGCATAAATCAAACACAAAAAAAAAAAAAAAATCTCAAATGTCAGGCAAATGAGTGTCAAGCTGCAGGCACAGAAATTTGTCTAAGGCAGAAAAAAGGACGTCATCATTTTCGCTTCATTTTTTGAGTAACTTTTAGAAGAAAAAAAACTTGATACAGAACTTTTTTTTTTTGAATTTTCTTACAGCTCCGAACACAAACAGGCATTAAACATACAATATATATAGAAAGCCCATTTCTTTTTTTTTGTTATATATATATTTGTCAAGGTGATATACTTCGATATCCTCCTCTAAACATTTTGCAAAAAAGCAGCTGTAATTTAACACATGAACAATCGTTTTGGAATGGCAAGAACTTTAATTACTTTTAAGCTTCAGCTATGAAAAGGTTTTTTTTCAAAGATTTCTTTTTATAAAATTCGCAAAATTTATATATTTATAGGCACTGTTCTTAATCAGCGTTAAAGCCAACGCATTCTTTACTCTAAGAATGAGATAAAAACCCTTAAAATTCTATACAAATTCGTACCGCTAATCATAAAACGCAGAAACACTAAAGCCCCATGAGAGCGAGA